ATTTATGTTCTTATGATCATCAGTTTCCCCTGTATTCTATTCATTTTCCTCAGTTTCCTCAGTTTCCTCAGTGACTGAGTAGCATCCACTCATCTCAAGCTGTCTGGTACTTCAATCTCAACCAAATCCCTTGTCCTCCAGGCTTCTAGACTTTCTCAAAAGTCATCATATGATGCAGTGAAAGGTAAAGAGGAAAATATATTCAATGTAACAGTGTACCAGTGGCTATATTAGTCAACACTCTAACATTTACCATTCTTGTTTACATAAGTAAGATTTCTTATACACCTACAGTATTATAGAACGGTGAGTTGGTGAAGGTAAAGATGCAAAAATTAGGTAAGGCACAATCCCCTTCATAGAACGTACACTCTAAATGAGGGCAAGATGTAAGCACAGAAAACCATTAAGACACAATTTGTATAATAAGTACATTACAGAGGTACAAAGGATGGAAAGTCCCAAGGGAAGGTCATTATCAAATCTCTAATCTGTTTGTTGATTCCTATTCATTTATTAACAAATATTCAACTGCCTACTAGAAATCTCCTCTGTTTTTTAATAGTTATCTCAAATTCAATATGTCTAAAAGTGAACTAATTTTCTTCTCCACTGAAACTACCCTTCCTTCACACTTCCTTTTCTCTCTTGAGCAGATCCATATCTTTCCTCATCTCTGCCACTCAGTTGTTCTTCAACTTGAGTGCTCTCTTATCCATAACATCTTTCTTGATTTCCCCATGTGCTGTATTTGGAGTCCAAGGACCAAGGTTCTAGCCCTTGTTTTTCCCTTTACTACTTAAATGACCTTGATGAATCTTTTAAACTCTTTGGGTTCCACTTTCCCTAACTGGAAAATGAGGCTGTGGGGCTAGATAACTAAGGCTCACAGATGTTGAGCTAGAAAAAGTGATGTGCTGGTAAATGCTTAACAACTGGCTCTCCGAAAAAAAGAATGTTCACATGACATACTTTCAATTTTATTCTGCATTAACGCTTTCTCCATCACTTTCTTTAAGGCTAGAAGTCAATAATAGAGTAAATCAAACCCTGATTTGCTGATCTCTGAGATGTAAATGTTCACACTTAAAATATAGCATTTCACTTTCATGAGCCAGTTTGAGCTGGTTCTAGCACACCTTGGCTAGAAGGGACCTCAGAAACCATCTGGCCCATCCAAGATTCTCATTTTACAGATGAGGAAACTGGGGCTCAGAGAGATGAAAAGACTTTTTTAAGGACACTCAAGGAATATATATACATATATACACACATACATGTATGCATGTATGTGTACACATATACACATACACACACATATGCATACATACACCCACATATATACATGTGTATTCCATGCTGATATATATGTATACATACATGCAAACACACTCATATATATATATATATATGTATATAATCAGGGCTGAGATTGAACCTACGTCTGCTGATTTTAAAGTCAGTGCTTTTTCAACAGGATGAAGTCATCTGTCAACAAACATTTATTCAGTGTTTACTATCTTCTAGGCATTTTGCAAAGTGCTGTTAATGCAGGGAAAGGCAAACACATAGTTCCTGCCTTCAGGGAGTTCATACTATAATGAAGGAGACAACATGTAAATAACTAGATACACACATATAGTCATACACAAGCATATGTATGTGTGTGTGTGTGCATGTGTGTGTAAATAGAAGTAGGAGGCTTTAGGAAAAACCTATTGCAGAAAGTTGGATTTGAGCTGAGATCAGCCGAAGCCAGGGAAGTCAATAGGTCTCTTCAGTTTCTAAATTTATGTTCTTATGATCATCAGTTTCCCCTGTATTCTATTCATTTTATCTTTTTTAAGATCAGTCCATTACTGCTGTTTCTGTTTGGCAGTAGGACATGGAATATAACAGCCTCTGAGGCTACATGATGGTGGTCAGCAGCCACTGTAGAACTACGAAGGAGAAGTAAAAGATATCATCAGGGAAACATGTTAGGAAGAAAAGATGAGCTTGGTTACATTGGAAGGATGAAGGATGACTGATGGATAGATATTAACATCTTCATAATGTCAGGAGTAAGGGTCAGGTAGCCCTCCAGTATGTGGGGTTTTCACAAACACATGGGAAGACATGGGCAAGAGTTACATATAAGAAGGGCAAGTATAGGACCATAGATTTAGATCTGAAAGGGACCTCCAAGTTCATCGAGTCCAACCCCCTCCCATTTTTCAGCTGAGGAACTGAAGCCTAGAGAGATTCAGTGGTTTGTGCAGGGTCACAAGACTATTGAGCATCTGTGGCAGAATTTGAACCCAAGTCTTACTGACTTCAAGTTCAATACCACCATCCACTATCCACCACAGCCTGTTAGTACAGCATGAATGTGTTGTAATTCACATAATTGAAGAGAATAACAAAATGGATGACCATTCCATTTGATTGACTACTTGAACATACACAATTTTTCGGATGATGCCCCAACATTATGATGTCATTGGTCCTCTTTGCAAACGAAGGACAAACAGCAACTCAATTTTTTATACATACTTAAATATTCAAATTGTGTTCATAATGGATCCTGTCTGGTAGAATGGAAGTTTCTTGAGGGAATTTAGTGATTCATTCTTGTCTTTTCATCTCCTGCATACATTGCCTTGCACATAATGAATATTTGTCAAATTCAATGAACTTGAATTGGATCAAATTATATTGACCTGGGCTTTCCGTATCTTAAAAGAGACCCTACACTAGAGTGTTTTTAATTTGAGCTATTTTTCCTTTTTTGAAGATACACAATTATTCTGCCATTGACGTGGTGGAAATTCAAACCAGGCAGTGAGAATGAGTCAGGCAGCTGATAAAAAAAAAAAAAAAAAAAAAAAAAAAAAAAGAATGAAGCCAAACAGGGAAAACTCTGGCTGTAATTTGAAATGTCCACATCTTGACTTGCATACCTTCTGCAAAAAGTGGAGCCTGTATGCAAACTGTGTTCATTTCAATGCATATCTCCTCTCCATTCCATAGGGAGACCAGCTGGGCTGTCCTCGGATAAGGGGCCCACCTGCATTTCATTAAAGATCAGGACTTGCTCCTTCCACACCAGACTCTCAACCACAATGACATAACTCCATTCAGAGGACTGTCTGACTGGGCTGGTGTTCCCCACCACACACACACACACACACACACACACACACACACACACACACACACA